CTTTTCTCTGAGGCAACTGTTATAGAAAAACCCTACTTTTATACGAAAAATACTAAATATTATTTTTTAAATATATATAAATCTATTATTTCTAAAAAATGGGCCCCCAAAATTCGGGGGCCTAAGGCAAAAGCCTTACTTGGATCTACGTTAGAGCTGGCACTGTTCCTAGATATCACTCCAAGCAGGGGCGAAACCAGAAATATTACGAAAAAATATAATATACGTGTACATAAATAAAATATTAGATTTTAGATGTATATAATATATATGGAACACTTTTTGTGAGAAATTTTTTTACTTCTTTCAAGTCTGAGCGCCCTTGGGAAAATTTCTAGCTTCCTATTTACTCCGAGGATGTTCATATAAGGCGCTTCGTAATCAAAATGTTAAGCTGATAGAGTTAATACCGTCTACTACATATAGTATTTGATTTTAGTGTACATCAATTGATGACTTAGTTAAAATTTCTTTTCTTAATTATTGTTATGATCAAAATTGGTAGGTGATTTGTGAACCCTAGGGATAACAAAATTTAAATTCCATTATGCGGGTAAATTAGGTTACAAAGATTTGCAAACATATGTTAGAGTACGAAAAGAAAATAAATCGATAGAAGTGAAGCTATGGGAGGTGGAGGCCTGGGGAAGAGGCCAGAGAAGGGGAAAGGGACAGATGATCTGATAACTATTATAAAAGTCAGTACAATCACTTTAATTTCAATAGGGGCCCAAGTCATGTTTTAACCATAGATCATATGCTAGCAATTAAGGACATAATAGCATCAATAATTCATCAAAACTAAGATATTACTAGCTACTTATTTTTCTGTGGTTGTGTGCACTCAATCATCTAGGCTACGTACTGTTTATGTGTAGATCAAGCATCCAATTACTACTCTATGCTAGTACTAGTATTTTTCACTACACTACTTGATCTGCGCAATACACAGTAGGGTATAAATTTTCGTTAACTTTAATTTATCCTATTCCTTTCAAAACCTTGCCAATTCGTTTCATGTCGGAAAAAGAACAAAAATATAGTAATTAAAAAAATATAAATAAATAAGAATGTTGTATTATCTCCATAGCTATGAGTTTGGAATTTTAGATTCATAATATATCTCATAATAAGTGATAGACATAGATTTAGAATTTTATTTTGATGATTCAACCTTTAGGTTTTTATAGTTGAACCCACACTTTTGATAATATATACCAACCCATAATTAGATATTCCATTAGATATGAGATGAGAATTTAATAAGTTAACGCACTAGAATTACCAGCTATTTAGTTGATCTACATTTAGGTATTTGAACTAACTGAAAATACCAAAAACGGGTATAGTGTAAATATTACAGTATGATTTTATTTCTTGGTCTATAGTATCAAAGATAGTCGACGTATATATAGCTATAAATTTTCTGGCTGTTGGCTATCGTCACTAAAAGTACTGCCAATTGGTGGCATCTTTTTCATGTGTAAGATTTCTAGAGTCAAAAGCGAATGACATTAGTCTAAAAGTTTGGGAAACATGTAGCAAAGCCACTAGATGGGTAGTTAATAAGGGAAATAGAGTCAATTTTGTTAATGACATTTGGATTCCTAATCAGCCAAATGATAGAAAGACCCCTAACCCAGAATGACCTTCAAATCAAGGTGGATACAATATACAATTTGGACAACTGGGACACATCAAGTCTATCATTTGATCTCCCTCCCCATATCCTAAACCTCCTTAAGTCTATTTTTATTCCAAGGGTAGCCACTAAGGAGGACAACTTAATTTGGGGCCTCACACCCAACGGGAAATTTTCCAACAGCTCTGCATACTCCTTTATAAGCAAAAGTACACAAGCTCACTCTCCTGGAGAAGAGGACCACATCAAGTGGATCTGGAAACTCCAAACCACAAACAAAATAAAGTACTTTACCTGGCTCCTAATGCACAAAAGACTACCCACCAGGAGCTTTCTACACTCCATTGGAATAAACTGCCCCCCTCAATGCCACTACTGTGGTTTTGAACAAGAAGATATTAACCACATCTTCTTCCTATGCCCCCAATGCTGTCCATTTTTGGAATGTCATCCAATCAAAATCTTCAGCTCCATCATCCCCCAATCCTCTCACTAGCAGTCAATCTCGGCAATTAATCTTGCCAACCCTTAAAGGTGTGAAGTACAATGACTACCTCAACCGGGAGAGTCTCACTCCTTACTGCCTCTGGCACATCTGGCTGACAAGGAACAACAATGTATTCAATAACAAAAAAGAACCCATCAATGCTAATAACACAATAGCTAAGGCTACTGAGTATCTTGTGCTTACTAATAACAATTTCCAACTTTGTACTCACCAAATAATGCTTAAATGGACTCCTCCCCCAAGAGGCTCCTACAAATTAAACACTGATGATGCAGCAAAGGGCAACCTAGGAATGGGTAGAGCTGGGGGAATCTTCAGAAATCATAACGGTAGTTGGATTTTGGGCTTCATGAAAAACTTAACCCAAACAACTAACACAGGGGCTGAAATTAGAGCCCTTATTAGAGGTCTACAACTAGGGGTGTGCATTCGAATCGGTTTATCGATAAATCGAATCGATTATTTGTTATCGAAATCGAAATCGAAAAAATCGAAACCTTATTGAAACGATAACGATAAGCATATGTACAAATTCGATAATCGATAAGTAATTATCGATAAGGGTCAAAATCGAATGCACACCCCTAGACTGTAGACACTTGTTAAATGAGTAATTACCTATTTGTGTAGATTAATATAACATACATAATGTATATATATTCCGCTACTATTTTGAAAGCGGCTATACAATATTATTTTCCCTAATCTATACCCTTTCCTTTACCCTAAGTCCCTTACCCTATTATTTTCTCTACCATATTTAAGGAATGATCATATTTAAAGATCAAGGGAATGAAGTTCAAATTAATGGAAAACAGAATTAGACGTGATGATGTGTTTTGTTTTGTTTTGTTTTTTTATACCGTTGGAGTGTTGGTGGCATACATTTGATCCCTTACTTTAGTTTTGTTGCATGTGCTTGTTGACACAATTTTTATATTATAAATGGTGTTCGTCCTATTTTAGCTTCTTTTTGTCCATATTAGTTAGGCGCGTTTATAGCGATATACTTTCCGTGGAATCCCGCAAATTTTCTTATTGGTGTAATCGATAAAGCCCCCAAAATCGATAAATCGAAATCGAAAAAATCGAAACCTTATTGAAACGATAACGATAAGCATATATACAAATCGATAATCGATAAGTAATTATCGATAAGGGTCAAAATCGAATCGATAAATCGAATGCACACCCCTATCTACAACTAGCTGAACTAAACAACTTAGTTCTGCTACAAGTAGACACTGATTCAGCAGAAATAATCAATATGTTGATTAATGGAAATCTAATATTTGACCCCCTTATTTGTGAATGCAGATTGTTGATTCAAAGGATGGCAGCGTGGTAGTGAGGCACACATACAGGGAGCAAAACAGGGTAGCTGATATGCTGGCGAAGGAACCAGCTAAGGAAGTTTTTTTTGAACAAATCACTCTCTCTAGCAGTTCCTCCGGTGTTTGCCAATGATGTATTTTGGGCAGACACCCTAGAACTGAACTACCTATATCTTTTGTGGGTTGTAATATTAGTACAATTATGCAAAACTTTGCAACTATGGGGGCCATAAGGTACCCCGGTAACTCCCAATGCAGTGTAATCCCCTGTTCAATTAGTTAATATATTATCCCTTTGACCAAAAAAAAAAAAAGAATGGATTAGTCAAAAGCGAATGTAAAATGCCATTGCTGTAAGTTTGTGCGCAAGCTGGTACGTACTGTATTATTATTATTATTATTATTATTATTATTATTATTATTATTATTATTATTATTATTATTATTATTATTATTATTATTATTATTATTATATCTTTTTCTTTTTTCTAATGAAAATCAAAACTCCTGACACATGCATGTAACACTTTTCAACATGATGATGTTTACGTATTGGCATTAAGCTTCTGAGTTTTAAATGAGAAAAAAATTACTACTAAACAATTGGCCAGAATTGACTTAACAGTAAACTTTGATCATAAATATTATTTTAAAAAATGTAATCATTACCAAAGTATAAAAAATTGGTGGAGAAGTATATATGTCTTGAGGTTCAATCATTCTAGTCCGCATTAATCCACTTAAAAGATTAGATTACTCGCATTACGCTACTAGCCCAATGTCAAAAAAGTTTTGTCAAAACAATATATAGAGGAAAAATCAAAGGAGAAGCACATGAATTTGATTGAGTTGATAACTTTAATTATTACACAAGTGGGTCATTTTCTTAGGTACTAAACTTTATGGTTTCAAATTAAGGAGAAAAAATAAATATAAAAGTTGTTTTCGAGTCTAGTAGGTTAAATTACACTCTTAATTACCACCCAATCCATTTTAATATCAAAGAAACTTCATATTTATGTCGCGTCATATCAAAGTTTTTATGTTAAACCAAATAATTTCATTTTAGCAGTTAAAAATAAAAGTGATCATATATGTAATTTAGACACATATTTTGTATTAATTGATTTGCTGTAAGTCCGTTAGCTTGTAAACACCTATTAATGGTTCAACTACTAACCAATCCACTGAACTTTTTCTGATACCTAACTTTCTTCTCTATTGCTTAGTTTATATTTTGTTTTCATCGATCTATTGCTAAGACGATACCTAATTATCGACCGCATGCAAGTGCTACAGAATGTTGTGACTAAAAAGGCTAAAAGGCAAAAGGCATGGAGCCCCCTATGCACTTAAAAAATACTACAACTTGTGGCTGGGGCCTGAAGTGAGAGCAAATTACTGTACTACACAGTCTCCTTGTCTCCACATTGTCCACATTCATTAACTGAATAGGAAAAGTTAGAAGAAACGTAAGATTGAGATGGAAATCTGAGTGCCATTTTTAATCAACTAACTAGTATAAATAGATTCATGTATTTCAAACTGGAATGCACAACCCTCTCTTAATTATCCTTCTTCATTCTTAAATTATCGCAATGGCGAGCACTTGCAGTAAGTCTTTGTGCAGCAACTATATGCTGCTAAAACCAGAGGAATGTAGTGTATTAGACTTGATACGTATCTTGTTTTCCAGTAAAATATTGGGACCAAATAATTTCGTAGACTACCCTGATCAAGAAGTGACTAAGGTATCATTTCCACAAAGATGGATAATTTTTATTTCCATCCTAGCCCAAAAGATTTTACAGTCTACTGCTAATCCTTTGGCAGGGTTTGGCAATGCTATTGAGCACTGGCTTAACCTTCTAAATGTTAACGGCGGCTTCTTCCGTCTTGTTTTCAACGCCTTAAGAGGTACTGCCCTACTTGAAGTTGTTAATGCTACTCATTATCAATTCTTTAGTATAAGATTTTTTTACACTAAAATTTCACGTTATCTTTTAACAATAGCGCAAAACTATTTAATTTATATTTGTGATAATTTGTTGGTAAAGTTGTAGGAGCCGGATAAGGAATCAGCGACCTTCTTGTCTTTTATTGGAAATATGGATAAAAGGGTGGAGCTAGATAATAAGAGTGTTGAACTTGGACGGAGAAGATACCTTGAGGCAATAAGTATGATGGCTGCCAAAGCAGCTTACGAGAACAAAGCATATATTGAAACTATTGTCACGTCCTTAGTCGTTAACTAAGTACACGTGCGGCACTTTACAATTTGCTCACGATCTTGTACAATTTGCTCACGTTTTTGCTATGCCAAGTCAGCCTGACTACACTCAAGATCGCTAAGAGAATATTAGAACACAAGAGAATTGCAAAAGGAAGCTTTTGTATTAGAGAGAACTTGATTGTTTTGCTTGGTGAGTTTACACACTACAAAAAAACGCTGCATTTGCGGAGGTTTTATCTACATATTGCGGCGGTCAAAAACCTCCGCAATACACTTTTACGGCGGTTTCCAAAATCCCCGCAATAATGTTCGTCGCAGCCAATTTGCGGCGGTTTTCTGATAGACCGCCGTTATCATATAGCGGCGGATATTTACCGGCGGTATAACCTCCGCAATTTAGTAGTTGGCTGTCGCTTATTTAAACAAATAGCGAAGGTCAGAACCCCCGCAATATCTTTATTTAACCCCCACGAATTTTATAACACAATATTATCATAGGTTAAATAGCGGCAGTTATAACCTCCGTTGTTCATTGAATATATCTTTTTTCTGCAATAGAATGTTACTCCATAACTGTTCCAATTTCAATTATGTTAATATAATGAAGCATCAACAAATTATATAAATTGCATAGTGGAATCAAGTAACATCAATATATTAATAAACCACAAAATACATTAAAGTAAAATATCATTAGTATCAAAAATTTGCTTTAAACACAACTACTCCAACCATTAAACACAAAATATCAATATTATAAGTCTTAAAACTAACATTAAACATAACATCCACTCCAACCATTATGGACAAAAGATCTACTATGATCATTCAATCGAGTACGATACTTAATTATCTAATACATTTGCAAGCAACTTCAATAGTTGTCGTTAGGATTACTTTCACCGGATGATCTTCTTATATCCGTGGGTAAAATGGATCCGCTAGCCGCATCACTTGGATACAAAACAATCAAAAAAAAATATAATTAACAAAAAGTACCTCAACAATATCCAATAACTAATTATACTTGGACTGAACAATCATACTTTACAAAATTAAATAAGAAAGTTATGAACTATTCTTACCGTTGAACGAGGAGGAGAAACAAATATCCCTGCAAATTCTTCAGGTATCTTTCCTTCTTTCATTATCATATATGCCTTAAAAGCATTCATCATTTGAGTGTTAACATTCATCATTTCTCTGTAGTTCTCCTGGCTTTGATTGTGAGCATTCAACATTTGATTGTACTTCTCTTGGCATTGGGAAGAACATGAACCATTATTATAACTTGAAGCATTCAAATCACTATAACGAGGTCTTGTTTGTCTAAAAGCTCTGCTAGGAACAGCTCCTAATCCTAAGCACCTTACCCTTCCAGAATGCTCTTTTCCCAACACCTTACCAACAGCATCATTTGGCAAAATTTCAGACTCATCCACGGTGCTTTGGGTCAATGCTAGTTCAATTTTTTCTCAAATACATTACACACCAAAAGCAAGTGTCCTTACTTCAGTTCGTGATTGACAAGTTAACTACACATAGAAAAGCAAACTATGAAATAAAAACTTGATCTTTTAGATGAAAAGAGACATCATGGTAGACATTTTTCAGGAGGTTGCAGAAGAAGAAACCAAAGACAAGAAAATGAAATAATGCATAGAGGAGGGAAATTCCAAGGTAACAATAGATAAATACAGCAACAAAAGGAGCTCCAATAACAGCAACAACAGTAAGGAATCTTCTGAATCTTCAAATCTCAAAGAAATAGTCCACAATGGTTAGCCTAAGTTAACCGACTTTTCTCCTACATATGATGCTTCAAAGAAAGTACGTACGTACTTTAGTTCTTTCTCATCTACCAAAATTTTCCTATTTATACCCCATTTCACTGATAGAACCATCGACATAATATTACTCTCATCACAATTTCCCATGGAAATGCATAGCAAAGAGGCTCAACACAACGAGAGATATTACTTGAGTAACCATCCGGCACCGAGATATTTTTTAAAGTTTTGAGAAAGTCGACTCTTTTATTTGTTGGAATAACAAACGAAGCAAGCCGAGAATTCTCATTCTCATCTGGCCAAAGATCACGCCTTATACCCATATCTTGTAGATCTTTTCGAGCCTTAACAGATCCTTTGATTTGTCTTTATCATGTAGCAAAGTGTATATAATATTATCAAACACATTCTTCTCAATGTGCATAACATCTAAATTATGGCGCAACAAGTTGAATTCCCAATATGGAAGATTGAAGAATATGCTTTTTTTTCTCTATTGTTGAGTTGCACTTTCCTCGGTACCTTTTTGTCGATTTCTTTTCCTTCTCTCATTCAATTCTGCTGGTTTTCCAAATGTAACATCAATTTCTTCCACTTGTTTCAAAATATCTGACCCAGTTAACTTCCTTGGAGGATTTCTCTCATCCGTATTGCCAAAAAAACGAAGCCTCATCAATCTAAATTTATGATTTCTTGCCAAAAACCGATGATGACCAATAAAGCACCACTTTCTACTATGACGAAGTCGGCAAGGTTCTGTGTCAAAATTACAAGATGGACATGCAAAACCGGTATGTGTGTTCCAACCAGATAAAATTTCAAGTCCAGGAAAGTCACTAACTGTCCACATAAGAGCTTCTCGCATTCTAAATATTTCATTCTTTGATGAATCAAAAGTTTCCACACCTTCACACCACAACTCATTCAACTCCTTAATAAGCGGTTGTAGGTATACGTCTATATTATTTCCCGTCGTACGTAGACTTGGAATGATCATTGAGAGGATAAAATTTGGTTGCTTCATACACAACCAAGGTGGAAGGTTATGTGAAACCAAAATCACTGGCCAAATGCTATAATTAGTACTCATCATCCCAAAAGGATTGAAACCATCACTAGCTAGGCCTAATCGAACATTTCTAGGATCAGAAGCCAATTCGGGAAAAGTAGTATCAAATCTCTTCCATGCCTCGCCATCTCTGGGATGCCTCATGATTCTATCTCTGTTACTATCTTTCACATGCCATCTCATATGCTCTGCAATTTTAGAGCACATGAACAATCTCTGCAACCTTGGTTTTAGTGGAAAGTAATGCAAAATTTTTGCGGGCATCTTTTGCTTCTTTTTCTTCTTTCCCGTAGTAGACATGTGATTATTGTTGCTCTTCTTAGTTGGCTTCCATCTAGAAGTATGACAATGCTTGCATGTTTCCTCATTAGCATCATCTCCCCAGTACAGCATGCAATCGTTTGGACAAGCATCTATCTTGATATAATCAAGACAAAGCTTTTTTATGGTATTCTTGGCCTCATAAAAAGTATTAGGTATCCTTGCAAGTCCGAATGCATCCTTCAGTAAATCTAGCATCATATTCATTCCCTTGTCACTTAGCCCAGACAAACACTTTATGTGATACAACTTTAACAAAAACTCTAGCTTCGAGTACTTGGACCCTTCATGTAATTCTTCACTTCCATCTCTAAGCAACTCAAAAAATTCTGTGTTATTTGAAGAAGGCAGATCATTTAACATTTCTTCTTCTCCAACTACTTGTAACGGACCTGCATCAATGCCCTCATGCCGTAAACCCGGGAATTCTTCATTTATCAACAATTCTATAGGATTTTCAGGAGGCAGTGCATCTAGGATAACCTCTGCGCTTGTAGAGTTCTCCAACACTTCGGTTTCCTCATGAAGAATCCAAGTAACATAATTTTGAGGGTATGGCTTTCTAATCAAATGATCGTACACTATCTCTCTGGTCTGCCACTTCCCAAAACCACATTTAGGACACAGACATTTTATTCTATCTCTTATACAAGCATTCTTAAATGCAAAATTTAGAAATTGATTCAAACCAAGTAAATACTTTGTTGTATTTCTAGGCATTCCAATCCAAGATTTATCCATTGAAAAGTATTGACATATAACCTTTAAGAAATGATCCACCGATAAGGATTTCTCTGAGCAAGAGTGTTTACTGTAACCTACAATATTTCCATGAGAAAGGATGATTTAGTAACCTATCAACGCAATAACATTATAAAATTTTATAAGATAATGTAGCTTGGACTGCTATATGTCTAAATAAATGCAAATTAGCAGTTGATGTGAATTGATACAGGAAGTCCAAATTACAAGATAGAACCAAATACATACACATACATATATTGATTGTTGTTACCAATCTCTATGTTACTTCGGTCCTTTACTTTGCTTTTCTTCTAAACATTTCCACACTTCTATTATAGGAGAAATGCAGCATATTTCTCTTAATTTCTTAATTGTTAGGATTCCTTGATGATTCACTTTATATGTTGTTGACCCATTTCCAATCACAGCAGTTTCACCAACCACAACTCCAGTAGCATGATCATGTAAAATCCCTTTACCAATTTTAGCTCCAGGATGTATGTCAACAGCAAAAACTTCAGATACCCTGTTTTGTATCAAAAGTGCCAATATTTGCCTACCATTTGACCATAATTTATGTGCAATCCTATGAGCTTGACATGCTAAAAATCCTTTAAATTCAAGAAACAGTGTACGTAATTAATACAAGCTGGGTCCCTTTCTTTAATAGCCCATAAATCAGCTATGTTCCTACTTGTTCTGCGCCTATACAAAAGTACTTACATATATGAAAAGAACCTCAGCACCACCTTAAGAACAGCAAAACAATATAGTGAAGGAAAAGAAGGAAATGTACAAACTAAACTATCAAAGATAAACAACAAATTAATTACAAAAGGCTCCCCATTGGGAAGCCTTTTGTAAATATGTCACAGAAACTTTGTGTTTTGCATTGCTACATAATGTGTTAGAGAAGATGAGTCGTAATAAGAGTAATTCACCTAAACACTGAGTTTTCTTACAAAACGCTGAAGGCTTAGGGAGATAGGAAAAAATTCAATTGATGCGTAAAGCTAAATATTTAATAATTTTATGAACCAAAAAAGACCATTCAGAAACTAATACATAGAGAATTTTTACATATAAGAGGTGCTCCAGAAATCACTAAGGTAACTAGAGTTTAGGCCACTATAGGATACTTCCTGTCAAAATTAGCATATTTGCAGAACAAACAGCTCTACAGATGCGACTAAGATAGCAATTCAAAAGAAACTACAACCACTTGAAATCAACACAGGCTCAAATGCAGTACTTACTGCACTTCAAATAGGTAATGTTCATTTTCTGCTGGTTGGAAAGTAGTACTGTAGTTTTTGTACAGAAAACAACTAATGTTCATATAGGTAATGTTCAAATAGGTAATGTTCATTTACTGACTATTAGCTTAATACATTCTGCTAAGTCCCTGTTATTAAGAATTACAAACAATTGAAACATCATAACTGAGGAACCGAAAAGCAATATCACGCTCTATCCAGTGAAATATTAATGCTTAACTAACATTTGCAACATATTCAATACCCTTTAAACTGACAACAGATCTTGTACATAACATCTATAGTGTAATAGCTAGCTAGCTGTCTTCTTTATTCCATCCATTCCCATATAATACTGGTTATATTATAATGTACAATCGAGCTCATACAAGTCATACATAGCTTGACCTTTGCTCAAACAAAATTTTCTAAGCTCGATCTTGAA